AGTGAGCGCGAGCCTACTCGTCCTCTCCTCACTCTTCAGCCTCCTCTTCTTCATCTTCCTCCTACTCGCCTCCTCCTCCTCTTCCTCTTCCTCCTCTTCCCCCTAATCTTCCTCCTACTATTCCTCTTCCTCCTCCTCTTCCTCTTATTCCTCTCCTCCTACTCGTGACTCCTCCTCCTCTTCTTCCAGAAGGCAACCCGAGCGCTCCTCTCCTCCTTGTCACCTCCTATCCATAGTGTAAATACAAGGATCGGCAGCTTCAAAGTGACATATTGGCTCATTACTCTTTCCCCCTCCGACCTGTCAAAACAATGGGGTCATGCTGCGTCCCCTCTCCATTCTATCTAATTATCATCTCCCCATTCTATCTGTCGTCTATCTCTGTCTCACTAGTACTACATAAATACAAGTATACATAGTATAAATACCTAGGATGAACCCAAGAAACCCAGACAAAGTGCTATACTCTGCTTGAAGATGTGAGAAAAGATGACGCCAGTCTTTGGGCTCTCTGAATACAGAGAGCTAGATGGATTGACAGGGACTTGACAGACAGGCAATAGACAACAGAAATTGTATTATACCAGCAAAAACAAAGGAGGCGATGTTCATCTCAGCTTTTTGGCAACACTCTACCCTCATTTACCCTCATCAAACGTCCACACTTATCAGATGTTAACTCCCCTTATCTGTTACTGTCATGGTGAACATTTATTATTACATAATATATTATTATTACCTATTATTATTATTATGTATTATTTATTATTATGTATATAATTATTAGTATTATTATGTAATTAGTATATTATTATTATGTATTATTATTATTATGTATTATATTATTATGTATTAATTGTAAACAGTACGTATTCTTCTTCTCCTCCTCCTCCTCCTCCTCCTCCTCCTCCTCCTCTTCCTCCCCGCCTCCGTCCTCTTCTTCTTCCTCCTCTCCCTCCTCCTCTCCTCCTCCCTCCTCCTCCTCCACCTCTGCCTCCTCCTCCTCCTTCCTCCTCCTCCTCTTGCTCCTCCTCCTCTCTTCCTCCTCCTCCTCTGCCTCCTCCTCCTCTGCTCTCCTCCTCCTCTGCACCTCCCTCCTCCTCCTCCATTCTTGGAACTGTTTGAAGAGCTTGGTAGTTCATAATCACGATCATTATCTCACCATGCTCACATCTGAGTCTGGATTTTAAAATAAGATTACCTCTTTGATGCTGTACACTGAACGACGGCCCACACCAAGAGGTGGAAGGCTGTGGGTTGTCTGGGTTTTCCTCCACTAGTACCCATATAATGTCATCTAGTTTCGCAAAACCTCACCAGAACCTTGAAATACTCATCTTCACTGTCACTTCCATCTGAATTAGAACTTCACTGGGAACAAAAGTGTCCCAATTACGCCGAGGAGTGAGGAACGTCTTACGCGGCAATGAAATGTGTACTATAATGGCATTCCACAATGCACCACTGGGTCCCAATTTTTTTCCTACTGCCACTACCCACCACACAGACCCATCTCTCACATCTAGCTTATCACTTTTCCTGCGAGACGATTTTTGAGGCGCTAAATTTATGCATACTAGTACGTCAAAAACCCCTACCGTAAGAACGTACTAGTACGACCAAAACCCTCAAAGGTTAAAAAATTTATTTTTTTGTGAATATTTTGGAGTCTGGAACAATTAATCATATATACATTAATTTCTTATGGGAAATATTGCTGTGACTTCACTTGCTTTGAGTTTAGGCAAAGCTTTCTGAATGGCGCAGAGAGCAGCCTAGACTCTGTTCGCACTGTACATGTAGTGTAAACGTTGTTATCTGGCATTTATATTATGGCGCGAGTTGTAAAAAATGCATTCTGGCTTTCTGATTAATATGGACCGTGATACCCCTGGAACCCTAACCTGCATATAAGTGGGTTCCTACTGTATTTTGGTTTTGCCAGGTTGTTAGGTCTCTTTTCTTCCTTTCATAAACATTTTCTTCTTCATTAATTCTCCAGGCATACCAACACTTTTTATAAATCATGACGATATTCCAATGCATTAAATCTCAGATTATTTACTCTTTGTTTATCAACAATCTGTGTTGTCTTAGTTTGGTTTGTGTGGTAGGAGCATCTCAGAAGCACTTCTCTCTCACATTACGTTATACTAAATTGGGAACTTTTCTTCCTCTTCTGTTCTTAGTTTCATTTGTATTTTTCTCTATTATCGTATGGAAATCAATCCTTATAATTGTGGATTCTTGTTTTAAATCTCATAACAATTGTTTGTAAGTTAGCATGTACAAATAGATGTAAAGAGAGTTAAAGGGGAGAAAAAAGTTAGCATATGAGAAGATTTTAACAATGTAGAAGTGATGCACAGGGGAGTTAGGGAAGAAGTATATGGAAAAATAATGAGAGGTAAGGAAGTGTGAAGCAACAGAAAAAGAGAGCAAATGAGAGAGTGGTAATTTATCAACAAATTTTGTTGAAAATAAAAAAAAGTTTTTGGAGTGAAGATTAAACAAGTTAAGAAAGCCTAGAGAACAAAATGATTTGTCAGTTTAAAAATAGAGAGAGAGTATTAAATGGAAGTTAGAGGTATTGGGAAAATGAAATATTTTGAGGATTTGTTAAATTTGAGTGAAGATAGGAACGTGATTTCGCATAGGCAAGAGAATAACATCTTGTAGGAAGTGAGGAAGAGCCAGGTTGTGAGTGTGGGAAGTCGTAGCAGTAGCGTAAAATGAAAGGGGCAAGCAGCCCGGGATTGATGGGATAACAGATAGAAATGTGTAAAAGCATGGGATAATAGTTTGAGTGGTTGGTGCAATTATTTAATAAATGATGGAAGAGGTACGGTACCTAGGGATTGCAAGAGACATGCATAGTTCTTTGTTATAAAGGCAAAGGGGAATAAAAAGCGAGTGCAAAAATTATAGGGTATAAGTCTGTTTATTAATACCTGTAAAGGTGTATGGTAGAGTTATAATTGAAAGGATTTTAAGAGTATACAAGAGATAGATATCAGATGAACAAGGAGGCTTTAGAAATAGGTGTGTGGTCCATTTTTACATGGAACACATATAAGTGAACAGTATTAGATAAGGCTATAGAGTCTTGGCATTTGATGGATTTGAAAAGGCTATGACGGGTGAAGCAATGGCATATGTTTCAAGTGTATGGTGTAGAGTAGTTACTGAAGCATGAAGAGTTTTTACGAGATAGTGAGCTGCAAGTTAAGTATGGAAAAGAGAAATTTTTTCCCACAGTAAAAGTAGCCATAGACAGATGTGTGATGATCACCTTTTTGAATATATTATAGATGGGTTTATAAGAAAGTAAATGCAGGGTTCTTGGCAAAGGCAATGGAGTTAAAAGAATAAAGAATCACACACACAAAGAGGATTGTCCACAGCTGCTCTTGTCGTTGAATACACTGGGTCCTCTTGGAATTCTGAAGAGAATTCAGAGATTGTGGAATGATTTTGTAAGGTGTGCAAAAGAAGAAAATTAAAGGTGAATACAAATAATAAGGTTTAGATAACAAAAGATTAGGTGATGAAAAGATGAATGAATATCAGAATTGGAGGGAGAGGAATTGAGGAGGTAACGCATTCAGATATTTGGATGACGTGTCAGCGATGGTCTAGAAAATAGTAATTCATAGAATTGATGTGAAAAAAGTAGGTCAACTATCATGGAGACAAATAACTTTGTCCCTTAGGCAAAGAGGGGAATGTATAGAGTAAGTTTTACCAACTGCGCTTATATGGTGTGATCGTGGTGGTGAATGTTGCAGCGAGGAGAAGCTGAAGGCAGTAGATGTCCATTACTGAGGCAAAGTGGGTGTGAAATAATGCGAGAGAATTCGAAGTTTGAAGTTAGAGGAGGGCGGATTACCAAAATGTTGTCCAGAGGCTGAGGAAGTTGTGAGTGGTTCGGACATGTAGAGAGAATGGAGGAAACGAATGACTTCAAGAGTGTATCATCAGTAGGAAGGAAGGCGGGGTAATGGGTCGTCCTAGGAAAGTTGAGGTAGGGGGATAAAGAGTTTTGTGTGCGAGGGCTTGAACTACCAGCAGGCATGCGTGAGCGTTTTGATAGGAGTGAAATGGAACAAATGGTTTTTTAAAATACTTGACATGCTGTGGTGTGAAGCAAAGGTAACATTTATGAAGGGATTCAGGAACCGCAGGCCTGACTGAGTCCTGAGTGGGAAGTAAAGTGCCTGCTCTCTGTCAGGAGGGTGTAATGTTGCCAGTTTTAAAACTGTAGGTAGAGCACCCTTCTGGCAAGACAGTGATGAGTGAAATAAGGTGAAAGTTTTTCTTTTCGGCCTACCTGCCGTTGGGAATGCGGCCAGTAGTGATAATAAAAAAAAATAAAAATAAAAAATAGGATTTTAATAGTGTTTGAAGAGTGAGCGAGGTTTTTTTTTCTATCTTATATATTTGCTTTCTCCTTTCCTCCCTGCTGTTCTTACTTAGTAATTAACTACTGAACATTAAAGGTGTTACAAGTAGTAAGGTTCAGCTTAACACATTAACGTTGGTACAAGCACTATGCACATGAAATATAAACCCATTATATACCAGTAAAACCTTGAGTCAACACACTAATTGTTGAAGAGGATGTCCGAATAAAGTTGATAGTAAATCTCATTGATATTGTTTTGCCATAATCGTAACAATAATGGATGGGCAAGTCTGGCTTTGTCAGTTGTTTATAGATTTTCTTTTCTTGTTTACAGACTTTGTCCATTAATTCTATTAAGCTGAGGATTATTGAATAAAAGTTTTTGCTATATAGTGAAAATGTTATACAGTGAAAAATATTAAGATGTCCATTTTGTTTTAATAATTTTTATGTGCACTAATTTGTTCTTCCTCCATTTACCATCGATCAAATGTGAAGTTCACTCTTGCTATCTGCAGTGCTTCACATGTAATTAATTCTCCAGATGTTAGAACCTGCTTCCTGTCTGGATTATTGGTGCTTTGTTAACTTTCAGGATGCCATTGAAGAGGCAAAGAGGCAGCTGAAAGCCATTTTTGAAGAGATTAAGTTCATTGTAGAAGATACCGTGACAGTAGCCGTGAAGCATCATCGACATTTTATCTCACGGAGGTGTGAGGTCCTCCGTCAAATTAGTGACCAGTATGGAGGAGTGATAATTTCTTTCCCATGGTCAGGTGTTCAGAGAGACAAGGTGAGTAATCCATAATCTTGGATACTCATTCCCTTATAAACTATTTTAATTCAGTTGTAGGAAAGAGTTAATGTTGTTGGAAAATTAAATGAATGAATTTATTAAAGGTAGTTCAATGTAGATCTACGTTCTCTCGCCCAGTACTCCGAATACTATTTTGGAAAAAAAAAAAAAAAATTTTTATTAAAAATAGGGCATTTTTTCCAACATGTAAAAGGATAAAAAAAATTTAGCGTCATACTTACAGAGATATTTAAATTATATCACAAAAAATGTTAAACCTAGGACCCAATCCTAACTTTTGTTTTAATTTTTAATACACTACCTAACAGAATACTCCATTCTACTGAATGAACAGCAATGCATGCAACCATATGACCTGTCTTGGTAATACTCATTTGTGCTTTATAGTTATCTGTTTACAATAATGTCTTATCACTGATTTCATCATTGCTTAGTTAATCTTAAGTTAATTTTAAGCCAGCCCATAATGCTATGCATATAAGTGGCTTTGGCATGCTGCTCTTACCTGCTCTATATAAGACCGCAAAGTCGGCACTGGATGCTTACCTGATGGCAACTTGGAGTAGTGCCACTTGCAGAAGTGTTGCTGATATATCTTTTTTTTCCTTGTTTTTTTTTTTTAATTTATATAATTTTTATGTTCTGATAATTACAATTGTAGTAGTAACTTGTGATTTCATGGCCAGTCTTTGTTCTGACACTAATATTAGGTACTGAAATACAGTGGAACTTCTACTTACGAGTTTAATCCATTCTGTGACCTTGCTCACATCCCGATTTGCTCGTTTGTTGAGTCAGTTTTCCTCGTTTTAAACCTTTGGGTGTCGACAGGACCTCTCAGAAACTTGTTCTCAGGGTCCGGCCAAATTTCAAAAAAAAAAAAAAAAAAAATTTTTCTTATGGAAAGATATAGAATCTTTTCCCGATCATAATGACACCAAAAGTATGAAATTCGATGGAAAACATACAGAATTGTGCTCTCGCGAATTAGCGGTCATCAATGAGTTTTATGCATCGGCGATTATGCCCACTTTTAGCCCTATTTTCGACCAATTCAGTGTACTAGTCAACAAAAAACATAACTATTTGCTAGAACTCCAGTTTTTTTTTTTTTTCTACCGAATGAGTACAAGAAACCACCCATATACCGATTACAACTATTCAATAAAGTGGTCAAGAATTAGCAAGGTTGGCCTTGGGTCTCTCTTTGTGCTATTAGGTAGCCATTGTTCCGAATAGGGTCCCAGATAAACAAGAAAGACATTCCTGCACTAAATAACAAGTTCCTCTGGTTCGTTAGTCACATCCCCAGGCCCCTGCTTATATTTCTTTGCTTCCACTTTGAATTTTATTTCCTTACAAAAAAAATAAGATTTACTGTTTAGTGCAGACTACTGCATTAAGTGTAGAAATGGTAAAACAATATCAGCGCACTTGTGAAAGAATCTTAGACTCTCCAGTTGATGTTATTGGAACGCTTGGCATGATTTGTTTTACTTTTGAACTTTGGTAAAAATTGAAACAATTTCTGCTACATTGAGCTCAATTTCCAGGTACTTTTTCATTGTAAAACCAAGTCCAGAATCAATCTCAACTTCTGTAATATGTCTTCCATTCTATAAAATGAGACCCAAAAAATTAGAAAACAACTATACAATACCATAACAAAATACATTGCAAAGTCCTGTTTTTAATCAAAAACATCGTCAAAGTTTTTTTTCTCATTATGCACTGTGTGCTGCAGGATTTTTTTTATACTGCGCACATTGACCACATAGACCCATTCTTTCATATGTAGCCTACCAGCTTCTCTCACTAGATTTGAGGGGCCGAAATATGGGATGGGGCGTACTAGTACGCCAAAAACCCTGGGTCCGTAAGACTTACTAGTACAGTCCGAAACCCCACAAAGGGTTAAATTAATTGAACTGAATTATCCATTCAGCGGAATTCCAGGCACACAAAAATACTTTCAGTATTTCGCTAATGCAACTAGCTAGGAACGGCTAATTATCTATCACAAAATTCATCTAGAAAAGAACATAATAAACAAAATTTAATAACATAGAAACATGATGGCCAGGTACCATCCAGCTTACGACGGAGCTTGGTTCCACCCGAATATTAAAAAAAACCAACATGTTGTAAGTCAAATGGAGGTAAGTCGAACCTTAGAAAATTTCCAATAAGGATACTTTAAAAATTAAATCTTAATCTTGTAAAGTAATCGTTCTTTTATGTTTGTTTTGGAAATCACTTCAATACCATTTCATTATTAATTGATTGGATATCCAACAAATAGGTGAATAACTTCTTCAGGGATAATAACTGAGAAAGTTTGCGCATACCCGAGTACTCGGGAATTTTTTTTTTTTTTTTTCCCGAAAAAAACCCTTTATTTTTCAGTGTTTTCGTAAGCTACAAGTGTCTATTACAGTTTGCTCTCATGCTAAATCCATTTTCTCTCATAAGAGTGACAAAAGAAGGGATAATAAGCCTTATGGCCAGTTTAGGAAACACACTGTGCACAAGGCAAACAGTTTACCTGGAGAGAGTTCCGGGGGTCAACGCCTCCGCGGCCCAGTCTGTGACCAGGCCTCCTGGTGGATCAGAGCCTGATGAACCAGGCTGTTGCTGCTGGCTGCACGCAAACCAACGTACAAGCCACAGCCCGGCTGGTCAGGAACCCGACTTTAGTGCTTGTCCAGTGCAGCTGCCCCCCCCCCCCCCCCCCCTGAAGACTGCCAGGGTCTGTTGGTAATCCCCATATGTATGCTGTGAGGCAGTTTATAACAGTCTCGGGCCCCTGACTCATATTGTATGGTCTCTTAACGTGCTAGTGCTCCCCTGCATTTTCATTGGGGGGATGTTGCATCGTCTGCCAAGTCTTTTGCTTTCGTAGTGAGTGATTTTCGTGTGCAAGTTCAGACTAGTCTCTCTAGGATTTTCCAGGAGTATATAATCATGTAATCTCCCTCCCTGCGTTCCAGGGAATAGAGTTTAGGAACCTCAAGCGCTCCCAGTAATTGAGTGTTTTATCTCCGTTATGGCGCCGCTTGAGGTTCTCTGTAACATTTTCTAGGTCAGCAATTTTCACCTGCCTTGAAAGGTGCGTTAGTGTGCAGCAATATTCCTTCCTAACATAGAAACAAGTAACCTGAAGAGTGTCATCATGGGCTTGGCCTCCCTAGTTTTGAAGTTCTCATTATACCATCCTGTCATTTTTCTAGCAGATGCGATTGATTACAATGTTATGGTCCTTGAATGTGAGATCCTCCGCCGTGATCACTCCCAGGTCTTTGCGTGGTGTTATCGCTCTATTTTGCGGCCAGGATTTGTTGTTGTACTCTGAATGAAGATTTTAATTTCACTCGTGTATACCATATCTGAGTAATTGAAATTTCTCATCGTTGAACCTTCAATATTGTTTTCTGCAGCCCAATAGAAAAGATTGGTTTGATGTCCCTCCTGGAGCCCTTGCAGTGTCTGCAATAAAGAACACTGTAACTGCAGATTCGGGTGTCAATCCTCAACGGAATGACACGGTTGCTGTGGCTGACATCCTTTGTCTATGTCGAATGAGGATGAGGAACAAGATGGAGCGAGTACTGTGCATGTGGAAACAGAGATTTTCCACCGTAGCTGCCTTCGGACATTTACTCTGTTTGACGACTACTCTCATGTAGTTCTGTTAGTGAGGAAATTATAGAACCATCGACCGACTTTTCTGTTATTCCTTTAGCACGCATTTTTGTCGCTATATACCCAAGGTCACACGTCTTGTCCGAAGGGCTTTTGCAAAGTCCTGTTATATATACATCTGCATTCTTATTGTCTCTAGTGCATTAGGACCTTGTCGTAGTGATCAATAGTTGAAGACAGACCAGGAAGCGACCTGTCTAAACCCATGTTGCCCTGGGTTGTGTAACTTATGGGTTTCTAGATGGGTGGTGATCTTGCTTCTTAGGACCCTTTCAAAGATTTTAGGATATGGGATGTTATGCTATCGTCTGTATTCTTTGCTGTTGCTTTACGCCCCCCTTGTGGAGTGGGGCTATGCCTGTTGTTTTTAGAACTGTGGGACGACCCCCGTGTCCATAGCTCCTCTCCATAGATGGAAAAGGCTCGTGATAGAGGGGCTTCTGCAGTTCTTGATGCACACAGAGTTCCATGAGTTCTGTGGCCCTAGGCAGACTGCATGGCATGTCATTTATCGCCTGTTCGAAGTCATTTGGTGTCAGGATAACATCGGATAGGCTTGTGTTAACCAAATTTTGTGGCGCTCTCATGAAAAATTCATTTTGATCTTCAACTCTCAGTCTGGTTAGCGGCTTGCTAAAAACTGAGTCATATTGGGACTTGAGTAGCTCACTCATTTCCTTGCTGTCATCTGTGTAGGACCCATCTTGTTTAACCCTTTGAGGGTTTCGGACGTACTAGTACATCTTACGCGCAGGGGTTTTTGACGTACTAGTACGCATAAATTCTAGCGCCGTCAAATCTCGCGGGAAAAGGCTGGTAGGCCTCCATATGAAAGAATGGGTCTATGTGGTCAGTGTGCACAGTATAAAAAAAATCCTGCAGCACACAGTGCATAATGAGAAAAAAAAACTTTCACCGTTTTTTTGGCATAAAACAGCGACTTTGCTCTGTATTTTCGTATGGTATTTATTGCTGTATTCTAGTTTTCTTGGTCTCATTTTATAGAATTGAATGCATATCACAGAAATGGAGATGACTTTCACTGGTTTTACAATGAAAAGTACCTTGAAATTGAGCTCAAAGTTAGGAGAAATGTTCGATTTTTACCAAAGTTCAAAAGTAAACAAATCAGCCAAGCGTCCAATACACGTCAACTGGGGGATCTAACTTTCTTTTGCAAGTGCGCCAATATGATTTATATCATTTTTTACACTAATGCAGTAGTCTGCATAACAGTAAATCTTCTATTTTTCGTGAGAATAAAAATTCAAAGT